AGAGCAAATTTAATCAAAGGAAATAGGAGAAAAGTAAGTAATAAATACAGTAGGGTTATTTTTCAGAAGATTATAATTCTTAATTATAGTCTCAAATATTCTGGGAGGGGGCATATTTTATCATTATCTCATTCCAGAACACTCCGTAAACATCTATAGTCTCTGTGCAAAATAAATACTTTACTCAGATTATATGTAGGTTCTTCTATAATACAAAGCACCTAACCATTAACCTGTGGTTCTGATCTTTAGTGAAGAATGGGGAGGTCTTTCCATATACTCTCTGTGGTTACTTTTACCATGCAATAATAAATCTTACTCCAAAATATAGCTCTTCCTTATCTGCTAGGAAATTCAGAGTTAACTTGTTTCCAACTTTTATTTTAGAATCAAGGAGTACATGCACAGGTTTGTTACAAAAGTATATTGCATAATGTTGTGGTTTAAAGTATGGAGTAATTTGTGATCCAAGAAGTGAGCACAGTACCCAAGAGATAATTTTTTTTCAACCTTTACCCATCTTTTTCTTTCCCAATTCTTGTATTCCTCTCAATTATCAAATTTCATCCCATATGTCTAATAACATATTTTTCAGTTCCTCTTAACTGATTTTTGTTTTACATGTGTCCAATATTTTAAACTCTTCTCAGTTGGTTAATTTGTAGTTGATGTGATATGAATACTAAAATAATTTAGTCTTACAAGCAGTCTTCCCTATACACTATGTTAATTTATATTTATTTTCTCTAGTAATATTCACCTGTCAACAATATGTATTTGCCAGCATATAAACAATCTTAAGATTTTTTAAAATTCCAAAAAAGAGCATTATAATACCTGATTATTCCTATTAAAGAGAAAGATTAACATATGATTAATAAGTTATAGCAATGTTTTTATTAAAAAAACTAGTATTCTATATTCAGAATATAAAGTATGTTTCAGTTATTCATATTATTTAGCTACATATTCTGTCAAACTTTCCAATTATTTTGGAAAAGTGGGGATTTTTCATATTTTGTTTTAAACCATCACATGCAGCATTTCAGTTTTGTTTCTCATTATTTATTTATATTGCACATCTGAAAACTAGAATAACCCAAATGACCAGGCCCCACAGCATATCTCCTGAATCATATCATTGCAGCTATGGACCCAAATTCTATTGCCTACCATGGGGAGTGAAAAAACACTACAATTGATATCTTCTCCTCTACCAAGTTAAAACTTCTTACCACCTGATGAAAATTTAAAATATGCACATAAAAGAGAAATGCAGTCACTTTCACTCATTTTACACTTTGATAATTTTATAACTATTTTGTGAAATATATATACACATTTGTAAATTGCCAAGTTCAAATAATAATATAATGTTCAAAGGCAAATTAAGTATAGCAACATATTACAGAAAGTATCAAGGCTCCAACTACAGTTTCAAAGCAATTTTGCAGTTAAAAATAATAAATCAGCACCATTATCAGTAAGCCTTTCCTTGGTTTGTATCGACTAAAGTACTAAGCCTTTCCTTGGTTTGTATCAACTAAAGTACTAATTTTTAAATTATCATATATTTTAATCACATTATATAAACCATGTCTGTAAAATAAAATACACATCAATTATGTTTCCTCTTTACTCCCAACTTTGATGGCAAACACATTAAATGTAACTATACAAGGCTATAACTCATGAATATCTAAATGAAATATTAAGAAGTAAAAACTATTTATTTTGTGTATTTATTTCCTTTCCAAATGTGATACATAATAAATATTGAAAAGAAAATTTTCAAAGAAAGTCTTTGCTAAGTGTACCAATTATCTTTAGACTTCACACTTATTCACTGAAGCTTTTAGATACTAGGAAGATGGATACATCATTAAGTAATATATTAACATATTAGATTTGATGGTCTACAGTAAAGTATTTTACAAGCATGAACTATGTATGATATTAAAAGGAAATCTGAATACTAGAGTCCAGAATTATCACAACAGCTGTTATGATATCTGTATATAAAATCAAACCATAAAAAAAGAATAAAAAGTTTTGGTTTTTAGAAAATCTAATTGTAGGGATACTAATCAGTAATATTTTATACATATTGTGATTACAAACGTTATTTTTAGTTTAGAATGTCTGCAACATATTAAGCTCGTGTCTATTAACAAAATAAAGAAATTATATTTTTAAAATACTTTTTATTTGGATAACAAATGTTTTAAGTAAATACTGTTTCGACAAAGAATTGCTATGGGCCAGTGCAGTGACTCATGTTGCAATCCCAGAACTTTGAGAGGCCAAGACAAGAGAATGCTTGAGTCCAGGAGTGAGCTATCTGCCACTGCAACCCAACCTGGGTGACAGGTTGTCTCTAAAAGTAAAAATCCTGTCTTTAAAAATATTAAGAAATTGCCATGATTTTATATCACAGAAAGAAATATATTTTCAAAAAAAAATTAAGGAGTCTAGTAGAACAGTCTGACCAGTACATGTGTCCTAGAAAATGAACATAGAATATAGTGCATTTATGAGTTAATATAAATAACCTTGATAGCTCAAAACATTATATTTTCATGGCATCATATTCTCTATGCTTGCAAATGACAAATTATGATTATTTTTCCTTAAATGTATTGGCTTTTTAAATTTTAGAAGGCTATATACTTCTGTTCAGAAAAAAAAGCTTTTGTGAGGCACCATTTTTCAACTTCTATTTTTATTCCAACTTGTATAATGCAAAAGCATAAACCTAAAAAATCTAAAAGGTAATGAGCCAGAAAATGGATATTAAACAACCAAAGTTAATCAAAATATTCACAGAAAATAATCTGCACAGAAATCACTTCTTAATAAGGAAATTAGCACAACAAATATTTCTTCTAGCCCCAAACTTTACTCCTTGGTTAGCTTTCATACAACAGATTTTGGATCTCCTAATATTAAGCCATTAATACCTTTCTCTTAAGTGTCATAAATATTGAGTTACATTAATTAAAATTTAGTTCTTGAATCTACTAATTTATATTCTTCAAGCACTTGCCCTCTCTCTGTCCCTTTCTCCTCCATGAAACCTCATGCTGATATTTGGACAAAGTAGATTTTGATTACACTACCAGGGAATTCCATTTGGAAAAAAAATCTACAGAATACTAAGGAAGGAAGTATAATATAAATTCAGGGGTGCGAGAATGTTTCCCTGCACTACAGAAAGCTGAGGGGTGTAAGGGTTCCTTCAACAGGGCATAGTGAGAAAAAATATATATATTTAAGAAGCAAGTTGAGAGCAGCCTAGCTGAGTAAATAAATTCAAATAAAACAAACTGTAAAAAGAGAATTTTTGTTTTTTCTGTATGTCAGGAAGAGTAGCAGGAGAAAGCAAGTGGTTAAACAGGGCCATGAAGTACGAGCACTGGAAATAAATACAGCCTTAGCTTGTCTTGACCACAGCATGCACAGTGAACTCCACAGTATATAATCTAGGACCCTATTCCTTTGGCTTCAACTCCTTCATATAAAGAGGGGGCGGAAATTAAAACATGCTGCTCTATAATTTCCACACAACAGTCATAGTTATGCCGGTAGTAATAAAAAAATGTAACTGGCATTAACTGTAAATGGAAGGCATTTTAATGGAGGATGAAAATGTTCTAAACCTGTACTTCAAGAAAGTTGTTTAAAAAAAAAATCTATATCATTCTTCCTTATGGCAGCTCTTCAGATACTCTCTACTCTCCTCCAAGAAATGTAAAGCCCAAATGCCTCCACAGAATATAATTTTTCAATTTATTATAGTTTAGTTTGTTCAATGTCTTTTTAAAAATATGGAATCCAAAACTAAACAGATTATTTCCTGGGTGTTTGATTTGTACAGAATTAATGGGCTTAAAGCTTTGCTGGACTGATATAATTTACTCTGGTAAAACAATGTTCTGGTAAATATCTGGAAAAACTCTGTGGCAAATACTCTAATAAAATAATACTCTGGTAGCTTAAGATGTTAAACATTACCATATCATACTATTTTATTATATTGAATATGAACTTAAATAAAATCCCTAGACTTTCTCTACCCCCAACAATCAACTTCCAAGGAAATTTACTCTCGCTCATATATATGGTGTTTTTTTTATTTTTACTTAAAAAAAAATCTTAATGGAAATTTGAGAAAAGTAGGGAACAGAAGCCATGACTGATAATATGGTATATTTATTCCAGCAAACTTTGATTGCATAATATAGTCATTGAGAAAAAATAATATCCCATTTATATGGTCATCCTTCCCAGATCCAAGAAATATTATATTTAATATTCTGTATAATACCTTCTCAGAGCCAAGAAATATTCTATTTAATATTCTATATGATAGAATCTGACACATCACTCTGTTTGTCTCCTCATGGTTGTTACCATTGGATTTTTTATTTGGTTACTTCTTCCTTGTTTATTTCACCTTATTAGAATGTACATACCGCAAACATATAGGCTCTGCTGACCTTCATTCCCTTGGGACCTCACCTAGTTCAACCGTTAAAATTAATTCTATCTACTTGCTGACAATTCTCAAAATTACATCTCTAGCCCAGACCTCTCTCCTGAATTCTGGACTCACATGTATAATGCATATAGACACATACACACACAAACTTCCATTACATATTCACTGCATACACATATGTCTGTTTATTTCACGTGTCCAAAATCAAATTCTGGACTCTATTACCCCACCAACCTTCCTCAGTCAGAAACCCACCCATCTCAATTGATGACCAGTCCATCCCAAGGCAGTCATCTTTGACTCCTCTTTTTCTCTTAAACTCCACACCCATTAATTCCATCAGTACATTTTATTGTTTTTGTCTTAAAAAATATATCCAGAATCTGACCAACCTCTCACCATCCTGCTACCATCCTGGCCAAGTTTTCACCAACTCTCACCTGCTTTATTGCAGTAGCCTCTAAACAAGTCTCCCTGCCTCTGTCTTTCCGCCATCCCCCATTATAATCGATTTTTTTTGGGGGGGGGCTTCATCTTCACTCCTGTACTTCTCACCCTACAACCATTCAGTGATGGGAACTGTGGAACACATGGCTCCAGGGCTCCAGGTGGCCCCTGCCTCCCAGGAGAACCAGCCACCCCTTCTAACTGGGCAAAGGAGTTAAACAGAGCATCACCACCACCTCCCTACTGGTTTTTGGCCTGTCTGAAGGACAGAGTACCCTCGGAGCTGGCCTGGGCCCCAGCCCTACTGCTGGGCTTGCCTCCTGTGGTTAGTTGCTATAGGCCTCTTCGAATATGGCCTTGCAGGGGAAGCGGGCCTTTAGCTTAGAGCAAATGAGGAAGGAGCCCCCCATCTTCCTGTGCAGGGAGGAGGTCTCCTCAGGCGGGGGGACAAGACCGTGTCTCAACATGACGGGAATCAGGTTGTGGATCTTCTCGGTGGTGCTCTGGGTGCCAAAATCAAAGGGCTTATCGGAGGTGAAGGCCTCCCTTGGATGAGGATGGCATCCAAGTGGGCGTCTTCCATGACCTTAACTTCGTAGCCGGTGAGGAACTTCATCTCTATGGATTTTGCCCGCACAGTCTCCCTGTCCCTGTCGGCAGCAGCCCTGATGATCTGAATGTAGAGGTCGGTGAAGGACCTGTCATATTCCTGTGTTGCCCCAAAGTCCAAAAGAGCCACCTTGTGCTGCTGGGGGTCATAGAAGAAGCTGGACCAGTTGGGGTCTGCCTGCATGAAGTGGAACTCGAACAGCTCCCTCAAGCACAGAACCAGGATGTTGTAACAGATCTCATTTCTAATCTCCTGGCTGAGCCCTTCGGCCTGGTCCAAGGGGAAGCTGGACACCAGTTCTGTGGTCAGCACGTGTGGGCTGCAGAGCTCGTCCACGATCTCAGGCACGTAGAAGAAGGGGTGGCCCTTCAGTAGCTCCCTGAACTTGCGGGTGCAGGCAGCCTCCCACTGGTAGTCACACTCCAGCCCCAGCTCCCGCCTTAGCACATCGATCAGGTGCTAGGGGAACAGGCCTTCTGGAAGCATGTTGCTCATGTTCAGCACGGCCATGAGGTTGTTGACGTTGCTGCTGATGCTCTGGGCCACACCAGGGTACTGGATCTTCATGGCCACCTCTCGACCGCTCTTCATGCAGGCCAGGTGCACCTGCCCAATGGACGTGGCGGCGAAGGGCCGCTCCTCAAAGTACTCCAGCTTGTCCCGCCAGTTGGGGCCCAGGTCATGGTTGAGAGTTTTCATCATCTGTTTCAATCGCATGAAGTCCGCACTCTGCCGCACCCACTCGAAGATCTTGGCCAGGTGGGGGCTGATGAAGGCGTTGTCCTGGATGCTCCGTGCATACGATGCGTTTAGCATTGGCCTCAGACAGAAAGGGACTGGAATCCAGCACAGTCTTCTTCCCTGAGGGGTCCTCGGAGCGCAGGCTCTTCTTGGCAACTTCTGCCAGTGCCCCAAAACCCAGACCCACGGCCAGACCTACGAAATTGGCCAGCCGCCCAATCCTTGTCACGGGCACCTTCCGCTCCCGAGCATGCTCGCTGAGCATCTGTTTGCGCTGCTTGTTCTCTGGGCGAGCCTTGGCCTGCCGGGCCTTCTCGATGTCCTCAGCTGTGAGGTCCCCCACAGGGGACTGGTCCTGGTGGAAGAACCTTCGCTGAAAGCCCGTGGCAGAGAATGAGCCTTTGGGGTTTGCAAAGAAGGGGATGAGGATGAAGGTGAAGAAGATGAAGATGATGATGAAGGGGAGGAAGGAGAGGAGGATGAAGGCGAAGATGACTAACAGAACACTGATGGATTCCAACCTTCCTTTTTTTAAATTTTCTCCAGTCCCTGGGAGCAAGTTGTAGTCTTTTTTTTTTTTTTTTTTCCCCTTCCCTCTTGTGCTCAGTCACCCTGTTTTTGAGGTTTCTTTTCTCTACACCATGGTTCCCAACTTATTTTGGGGGAAATATGTTGAGCAGGATACAATGGGAAAAGAGTCTCTACCCCTTTCTGTTTGAAATTCATTTTACCCCTTCCTGTCTTAACAAAAACTGTATGGAATCACCACCACAGAGCTCTGTGGGAAAAAAGAGAAACCTGCTCCTTTCGCTCTGCTGGAAGCTGGAGGGTGGTAGGCCCCTGTGTAATAGTGCATAGGATTCTAGCTTTTTTCCTCCTTTCTCTGTATATTGGGCTCAGAGAGTACACTGTGTCTCTATGTGAATATGGACAGTTAGCATTTACCAACATGTATCTGTCTACTTTTTCTTGTTTAAAAAAAAGAAAAAAAAACTTAAAAAAACTGTGTTATAGAAGGTCAGGAAAGGGTGGGTTTGAGATGTTTGGGTGGGTAAGTGGGCATTTTGACAACATGGCTTCTCTTTTGGCATGTTTAATTGTGACATTTGACAGACATCCTTGCAGCTTAAGATGACACTTTTAAAATAAATTCTCTCCTAATGATGACTTGAGCCCTGCCACTCGATGGGAGAATCAGCAGAACCTGTAGGATCTTATTTGGAATTGACATTCTCTATTGTAATTTTGTTCCTGTTTATTTTTAAATTTTCTTTTTGTTTCACTGGAAAGATGATGCTCAGTTTTAAACGTTAAAAGTGCTTTGTTACAATAAAACTAAATGTGTACACACAAAAAAAATCGTATGTGTACACAATAAAAAAATTATACATGTACACAAAAAAACTAAATGTGTACACACATAAAAAATGTATACAATAAAACTAAATGTGTACACACACACACACACACACACAAAATTCTCGTATCTCTGAGTGATCTCTTTAAACCTAAGGCAAGTCACTTCATAACCCTGCAACGGCTTTGTTTCCCTCAAGAGTAAAAACCAAAATTCTTTCTGTGGCCCCTTGTTCCTTTCTGCTCTTCTCTTGCTACTTTCTCCTTTGCTTACTCTCACTCAAGTCTCTGTATTTTCTAAATGTTCTTCAATAAGGTACTTTTTTATTAATAAAAAGTTTTAAATGATAAAACTATAAAAGAGTAATCTAATCTGCCATTTTACCCAAATGCTTCCACTACTAGAACAGGATTGAATAACAAATCTGAAAAGAAAAACTAAGTAAATTTATGAGAAGAGTTTATGGTGCCCTGAATGCCTACATGCCTAATGAAGACGTTGATAAACACAATTCTCAAAAAAACCAAACGGTATGGTGAAATAGCACAAGTTCTGGGTTTGGGATTGAAATATATTTCTTAAATCTTTTATTACTTACTAATTGTGATACCTTGACCGGTCACTATTCTCTCTGATTCATTTTCCTCTGTGTAAAGATGAAGCGATCAATCTGTAAAACTAATAAACTTGGTGTTCTACAACAAGAACACCTCTACATAGTTTCCAAAAACACACCTAATAAGGCTGACTTATTCCTTAGAATGTTATTGAACATTCTAGATTAATCTGCATATACAAAAGAATGACAGAAAAGAAACCAAAATACCAAAAATGTTTCGAGCCTGGTTGCGGATTGAGTTTTATACAACTTCCAAAATCACTACCTGCGAGATTGTCGTGGGCACCCTACTAAGAATAAACAGAGGGGTGTGGTGGCTCACTCTCTAGGAACCACAAACTTAATGTTCTTAAAAAGAACAGAGATTTTAAATAGTCAGACTGTATAGGTATCATGACCCAGGGTTGGGGGCAGATGGCTCTACATGACCTGGGGTGGTGGGGAAAAGGGGAGAGATGGAGAAAATCTTCTATCAGGATCTCCTGGGGAGCTGCTCCCGGCTGAAACAAACCACCAGTTAGGACGAATCGCCTTTGATATGAAAGTTGGGAAGCTAGATTGTTCCTCAGCGGGTCGGTTCTAACAATTTTGTTACCCAACCCGAACCACTCACCGGGTCTACTGGGCTGCAAGCCCTTAACAGTTGGAAACAAGCGGCCCAGGCCCAACACAGTCAGACAAATCGCTGGGTGGCCATCCGCTCCTGAGATAATTGCTAGAGAAACACGACAAGATCCAGCTTCACCCCATCAAGGTTTTCCGAGTGCCGACCAAGGCGCTCTAGGGGCGTGGTTACGTGAGCGACGCACGGAAGGGGCGGGTCAGAAACAACCGTACCGAGGAGCACCCCAGGGCGCATGCGTGCTCTGCGGCGCGGGCTGTGGGAAGGTTGGGCTATGGCAGCTGCTCGGGACCCTCCGGAAGTATCGCTGAGAGAAGCCACCCAGCGAAAATTGCGGAGGTTTTCCGAGCTGAGAGGTACCAAAGAAGGAACCTGAGTTCTCCCGGGCAATGGAGAGGGAGGGTGCTTTGCGTGCCAGGAGTTTTGTTGGACTGTCACTTCCCGTCTGCTTCTCATCTGCAGGCCTGTGACTGGCTCAGAAGTAGCTAGCTAATAATCCTTTTGAGTTTTTTATTCTTCTCACTGTCCCTGCTTGACATTATACTTGTTGCTTACTTTATTCTTCGTAGTGTGGATATTAAATAAGGGCGAAGGAAGAAGACTAAAGAAAATCTGACTAGTGAAGTTATGCATTGGTTAGCTCGTTAACAAAAGTTAACTTTAAGTAAATCTAAAAGATCTGAAGCACAGTATTTAGACATTTATGAGTAGATCCCAAACCCCTGTCTACTTCCTGGTTTACATTACCTTCACCTACTCCTGTAATGTAAGCACTCGTTGAGGTAGGAACAGAACATGGAAGAATTATGGATTAAAAATTAAAAGGGAGAAATTTGTCATCAGAAAATTGGCTATGCCACTTAATCCCTGTACAACTGTCTAATAAAAGTGATTAGACTTTTGATGCAGTGACTAACAAATACTGGGACTAATACTTGGAAAACAGTAAAATGTTCACGACTATTAGATTCTAGCTGACAAGTTCTGTTTGTTAACTAATTAAAACACTTAATCATTTTGTTTATCAATAAAGAGATTCCAACCGTCTACCAAAAGTGCAGACTGTCTTTTAAAGAGGTCATTAGAGAGTTGGGACCTTCTCAGAATTTTATATTATATTCTAACAGCCTATGTAAGTTTGCATGGTTCATCTTAAAGTAATAGAAAATAAAGTACCTACATTTATAAATAGCAGCATTGATGGAATGGATCTTTGGGTTGTGTCTTTCTTAATCACCTAACACTAAATGGCCCTGATATATAAAAATTGATTTGCAAAACTGGTAATAGTCTTTGGCAAATGAAATTAGCTCTCTTAATCAAGAAAAATTATGTCTTTCAGAATTTATAAATGGGATTGTAGACCATAAAAGGAGGGAATGATCAAAAGAGAGTGAAAAAAAGAAAAGAACTTGTGAGCAGTCCTTATTATAACCATTTTGATTTATACTAATGTACCACTAATTATTCCCTAGCTCTCAAAAGCCAAAGATACATTTGGAAGATGATAATAAATGTTACCTTCTTTTTCGTCTTTCTAAATAGGCAAACCTGTGACAGCTAGAAAATTCTGATAATTTTTGTCCTTATTTCCTTGCTTTTTCCAAATAGGCAAAGTGGTAGCACCTGGAGAATTCTGGGACATAGTTGCAATAACAGCAGCTGATGAAAAACAGGAACTTGCTTACAATCAACAGCTGTCCGAAAAGCTGAAAAGAAAGGAGTTACCCCTTGGAGTTCAATATCACGTTTTTGTAGATCCTGCTGGAGCCAAAATTGGTACGCGATTTATGGTCAGGTTTATAATATATGCCCTAAGCAGAATAATCATTGAAGAAAAGCTTTTCTGTGGCTTACAGTTTACAAGCTGCATATCTCTACCTACAACTTTACATACTTTAAAATTTGTAGAACAGGGCATATCAACTCTTCTTACCCATTATGACTTACCTTGAAAAACTTCTAGAATGTTACTTAAAAGATAATTTTTTTTAGTTTTAATGCAATTTACACTACTCAGGTAGGAATATTCTTTTGGACCTTATCAGTGGAGCCCTTAAAATCCTCCCAGCTCCACAGTTTTTCCAGCAGTTTACACGAAGAAAGCAAATGGGGGAAAAATACTCCTGGCCTTTTGGAGATATAATGCAGAATGCAAAATAACACTGTCACATGGTTTAAATATCATTAAACATATATTTGAAAACCCTAGTTTAGTTCAACTTTGCCCTTTGGCCTTCTGTTACAAATAGAAATAAATGCTCTTTTTCTGAAGGCTATTTTCTATGTGCTTCAAGGTGCTTTCTACTAAAAGTTGAGGCACCTTGATACCAGAGATAGGATATCTGCATATGACATTAGTGTTATTCTAATTATCGAATGTTATTTTTATTTTATCCTTGCAACTATGAGGTCAGTACTCTTATTATTTCCGTAGATGAGAATCTGAGGTACCTAGAGTTAAGTAACTGCCCTAGGATAACTAATGTGGTAGTTATATTTAATATATATATATATATTTTGTAATCCAAGTTCTAAAAATCTTTTTTCAAAAGGAACTCTAACTTGTGTTTTTGATTGTGTCATTTGGGAGAATTATTTAAATGGGCTTTGTGATTTGTAACTCTGAATGTTTATACTTATCAGTCTTCTGGTGTTGCAGATTTTGTAATTTATTCTTTCTTATAATTACTATTTTCAGGAGAATATTACCTCATCATTTATTACTGAGGGTTGCTGTCTGGGTTTCATTGCTAATTTATTGATTGGTTGTTTACTATGAGATGATTTTAATTTTGTTCTATTGGCAATACCTTTGGTATCTGTCTAATTATTGCTGAAAGCCAAATCTTTAAAGTTATATGACACCTAAATTTACCGTCATGACACTTTTAGTAGGTTTCTATGAAATAAATTGTGCTTTTTAACTTTATTTTTAAGGAAATGGAGGATCAACACTTTGTGCCCTTCAATGTTTGGAAAAGCTATATGGAGATAAATGGAATTCTTTTACCATCCTATTAATTCACTCTGGTAAAGTTATAATTTACTAATTTACATTTTCTTTTGAGTTTTACACCTTTAATACTTTAGAGACTTTTTTCTTTCTTGCAAATACTTTGCTTCTATTTTTTAAAAAAATCTTTGAAGTTATTCTGCTTTGAAAACAAATATTTCCTGATTTTCATGATTTTTGTAGGTTGTAAGTAGTATAGTGATTTTCACAAATTTTACCCTTAAAATAGTAGATCACATATATCATCAACTTTTTATGAATATTGTTTTGTTTTTGTATGCACAGAAAATTATTTCCCTAACACAGGACCCATTCAAATATGAATAGTTTTCAGGAATGCTTTAGTGGGGATTTTTCTTTTAATTTTAATTTTAATTTTAATTTTAAGTTCTGGGATATGTGTGCAGCTTTGTTGCATAGGTAAACGTGTGTCATGGTTGTTTGCTGCGCCTATCAACCCATCATTGGTATTAAGCCTAGCATGTGTTAGCTATTTTTCTGAACGCTCTTCCTCCCTTAGTGGAGATTCTTGCTTTGGGAGAAGGCTGGTTTAACACTATCATTACTTGACTTTTTCTGGTACTTTCTATCTTGCATTTTTGTGTGATTATTGGTAGCCAAAGGCCACAATGTTTAAAAATAAAAGGGAAATGTGACAAGATAAGGAGTGGACAAGTAAATATATATGGGAAAAATCACACAGTAGAAGACATTTTATTTTATTTTATTTTATTTTTTTATTGTTGTTGTTTTGCTCTTATTACCCAGGCTGGAGTGCAATGGCGCGATCTCAACTCACCGCAACCTCCGCCTCCTGAGTTCAGGCAATTCTCCTGCCTCAGCCTCCTGAGTAGCTGGGATTACAGGCACGCACCACCATGCCCAGCTAATTTTTTTTTTTTTTTGTATTTTTAGTAGAGACGGGGTTCCACCATGTTGACCAGGACGGTCTCGATCTCTTGACCTCGTGATCCACCCGCCTCGGCCTCCCAAAGTGCTGGGATTACAGGCTTGAGCCACCGCGCCCGGCCAGTAGAAGACATTTTAAAACAGAAAACTAGGAAGGACATAGTCTCAGAATAAAGATAGCCTTTTAAATTGAATACATTTAGTCGTATGAAATTTTGGTTACATGAAAACCTTTGTTATTTTTCTCTATATGTTAAGGGACTAACGAAAACTGTCATGAATTGACACCAGTCCAGGGACAGGTGTTTTAGAATCATTCATCTACATGGCTTCCAAGGCACTTTCTAACTCTTAATGATTTACATATAAAACAATGATTCTTTTTAAAGGTGATGTCAAAGTAGAGCATCCAAGTTCTGGTTTTAAGACCAAAAATTCGTAAAAAGATCACATTGACAATTTTGTTTATGAGAACTATTATTATTATCAGTTTAGTAAAAATTAAGTTAGATATCAGGAAATGCATAGTTAGATAATTGTTTTTATTTTTTGGAAATAGATAATTCTTAGTGCTAAATTTTACTATTGGCTGGTCTTTGGAAAAAGAAAAAAATAGAAAGTTATTAGCTCTCTTTTGTTGAACAATGTACCATGTGCCAAGTACTTTGCATATATTATTCATCTTCAGTAATAAATTAATCTTAACTTACTATAACATTTTTACTTTATAAACTTTTTAATTTTTTTTTAACTTTTTGACTCTATTATAATAACACTTAGCTTAACACACAAACACTATACAGCTGAACAAAAATATCTTCTTTATGTCATTAGGGTTTATTTTGTTGTTTTTATTTTCACTTTTTAAAACTTTGGTTAGAAAGGAAGACACAAACACATTAGCCTAGGCTGACACTGGGTCAGAATCATCAGTATCACTGTCTTCTACCTCTATTGCCCTATTAGAGTTCAGGAGCTGTCATCTCCTATGATAACAATGCCTTCTTCTGGAATATTTCCAGAAGGACCTGCCTGAGGCCATTTTATGCTAAGGTTTTTTTTTTTTTTATATGTATCATATGAATTTATTCTAAAATAACAATCAGAAGTATATAATAGTAAATACATAAACCAGTAACATAGTCATTTATTACCAAGTATTGGGTACAATCCATAATTATATATGCTATACTTTAGTAAACTGGCAGCACAGTAGGTTTGTTTATACCAGCATTACCACAAACACTTGAGTAGTGCATTGTGCTAGGACATTACAGTGGCTACAACATCACTAGGTGATAGGAATTTTTCAGCTCTGTTATAATCTTATGGGACAACCATTGTATGTTCTGTCCATCATTAAGCAAAATGTTATAAAGAAGCAAATGACTGTAATATATTAGTTTTCTATAACTTTTATTTTCTGTGAAGTGGATTCTTAATTAGAAGCCTAAACAGGATTGACATTTGTTGTTTAAATAGATACAGGCTGGGCACAGTGGCTTACACTTGTAATCCCAGCCCTTTGGGAGGCCCAGGCAGGTGCATCACCTGAGGTCAGGAGTTCAAGACCAGCCTGGCCAACATGGTGAAACCTCGTCTCTACTAAAAATACAAAAATTAGCCAGGTGTGGTGGTGGGTACCTGTAATCTCAGTTACTCAGGAGACTCACTTGAACCCAGGAGGTGGAGGTTGCAGTGAGCCGAGATTGTGCCACTGGACTCCAGCCTAGGTGACAGAGTGAGACTCGGTCTCAGAAAAAAAAAAAAAAATGTAGGTACAACATCATGTTTTGGCCGCTGTCCTTTTTATTTGTTATACATTTAATTCAAAACATTTCATTGGCTCTGCAGTATACTTAAATTTTTTTCCTGACCTAGAGTTTTTAAAATTGTGTCATATCAAATGGCAACAAGAGAATTTCTCTTTGAACTTTTAATCTAGAGTTCATTATTCTTTCCTGATTTACACTAACACATGGTGTATATTAAATATCTTTAGAGATATTTTGATTTGTAACTGATGCCCCTGGGGTTTCAAAATTTATAAACAATACCACAGTTTTTAAATGGTTATTATGTTTTAATTTTATAGGTGGCTACAGTCAACGACTTCCAAATGCAAGTGCTCTGGGAAAAATTTTCACTGCTTTACCTCTTGGTAACCCTATTTATCAGATGCTAGAATTAAAACTAGCCATGTACATTGATTTCCCCTCACATATGAATCCTGGAATTCTGGTTACCTGTGCAGATGATATTGAACTGTATAGTATTGGAGAATTTGAGTTTATCAGATTTGACAAACCTGGCTTTACTGCTTTAGCTCATCCTTCTAGTTTGATGATAGGTACCACACATGGAGTATTTGTCTTAGAGCCTTTTGATGATTTAGAACATAGAGACCTTGAATACAGATCTTGTCATCGTTTCCTTCATAAGCCCAGCATAGAAAAGATGTATCAATTTAATGCTGTGTGTAGATCTGGACATTTTTGTCAACAGGACTTTGCTGGGGGTGACACTGCTGATCTTAAATTAGACTCTGACTATGTCTATACAGATAGCCTATTTTATATGGATCATAAATCAGCAAAAATATTACTTGGTTTTTATGAAAAAATAGGCACACTGAGCTGTGAAATAGATGCCTATGGTGACTTTCTACAGGCTTTGGGACCTGGAGCAACTGTGGAGTACACCAGAAACACATCAAATGTCATTAAAGAAGGGTCAGAGTTGGTAGAAATGAGGCAGAGAATATTTCATCTTCTTAAAGGAACATCACTAAATGTTGTTGTTCTTAATAACTCCAAATTTTATCACATTGGAACAACTGAAGAATATTTGTTTTACTTTACCTCCGATAACAGTTTAAAGTCAGAGCTCGGCTTACAGTCCATAACTTTTAGTATCTTTCCAGATACACCAGAATGCTCTGGCAAAACATCCTGTATCATTCAAAGCATACTGGATTCAACATGTTCTGTGGCACCTGGCTCAGTTGTGGAGTATTCTAGATTGGGGCCTGATGTTTCAGTTGGGGAGAACTGCATTATTAGTGGTTCCCACGTCATAACAAAAGCTCCGCTGCCTGCATATTCTTTTGTGTGTTCCTTAAGCTTGAAGATGAATAGATGCTTAAAGTATTCCACCATGGCATTTGGAGTGCAAGACAACTTGAAAAAGAGTGTGAAAACATTGTCAGATATAAAGTTACTTCAATTCTTTGGAGTCTGTTTTCTGTCATGCTTAGATGTTTGGAATCTTAAAGTTACAGAGGAACTGTTCTCTGGTAATAAGACGTGTCTGAGTTTGTGGACTGCACGCATTTTCCCAGTTTGTTCTTCTTTGAGTGATTCAGTTACAACATCCCTAAGGATGTTAAATGCTGTTAAGAACAAGTCAGCATTCAGCCTGAATAGTTATAGGCTGTTGTCCATTGAAGAAATGCTTATCTACAAAGATGTAGAGGATATGATAACTTACAGGGAGCAAATTTTTCTAGAAGTCAGTTTAAAAAGCAGTTTGATTTAGAGATATTTAAAACATTGTACACTTTGCCTTTTTGAGTTACATTCCAGAGATAGGTATTTTCTGTAGGCTGTTTGTTTCACTGAACTTAATTAATAAAAATTGTCTTAACATAATTGCTGTAGATAATGTTAATAGCACAAAAGTATATATAAATCATATTTGATGAAGACTATTTCAAGACTAAGTTGAGAAAAGTGATACTTTTTTGGATGTATATCATTGTTTTAGTTTTTAATAATGATGGATTTATGGAGCATTGTTTTTTCACATAATTAGTTTAAAAGGTAATTTTCTAAGCATACCTTTGGAGAATTTTTCCATCTTTTTTGAGGCTTTTGATCCAATAAAGTTGTAAGTATTCATTGGCAATTCTCTCCTCAACTGTAATTCTATTTTGACTAATAAAAATTCATACTATAGGGTCTTCAGAGTACTGTAGGAATACGGAAAAAATGCTTATTCAGAAACAAATCCATAGCTGACAAATTCACTCAGTGCCGAATATATTGTGATTATTTTAGTCGATAAATAGCTAGATACAAAGACCTCTGAAATTGATGATAAAATTTGTATCTCATTGATTTTATCAAAATGAAACTAAAAGTACACATGTATGATACCCTTGAACATGTGTTTGTGTATCTTTAAAATTTTCCCGTATGTTCCATTCCATAGCAAAACACACACAAATGCACACAAAACTCAGTTTATCTGTGGGGAAAGTGGTAGTAATCATTGAGATTCATCAGTAATCATATAATTTCACTATGGACATCACTTTCATTATCTCCTATCAGTGCTTCTAACAAAATTTAAATTACCAAATTAACTGACTTTACTTTTCATCTTATTTTTTGTCCACACGCTGGTGTTGCTGAGAAGCAAATAATTGGCCCAAATGCAGACATAAAGAGGCAGGCAGAAAAATGGAAAAACTGAGATAATGCACAGACGATAAACACTTTCAAGAAAATAAAAAATTGGCTGAAATCTCAAGTTATGTGTTTCTATATTGGTATAAGCACATAAGTGAAAAGTCTTCATACTAAAGTGTAATAAAGATTTGTCAGCGTGTTTTTTTTAAATGAAATAACTAGTCTGTGCTACTTTTATTTGTATGTTAACATGTCAGTATAAAAATTGCCAAACTAGAAGTAACTGGTTTATACCTTCAGTTATGATACTTTGTGTGCATGTTTTTTTTTTTTTTTTCCCCAAGGTTTTTCCCAAGGAGAAGATACAAATATATGGTAGCTATTGTATATAAATAATTGATTTACTTGCAGATTTTTCAGAGGATGTTATGTGTTTGTCATTCATTAAATGTTCAAAATTTTAGTTTTACCAAATCTGAAGTGCCACCAGTTAAAAGAATCACATTATTTTATGTTCCATTAAGAAAAACACAATAAAATATGATACAGTACTTTCTTTGTTACTTGATATTTTCATATTTATTTGAGATCTCTTTTAGATGTTTTAAATATTTTATTTAACCCTCTTGCATATACATATAAAATAATAAAAAGGTGAAATATTGAGATATCATCAAAACATTTCTACAGCTTCACATTGAAGTTGTCCTGCAGCACTTTCAACTCAGAGTTAACGATATGCATATGTCCATCTAGTACCATCTTCTGTGCTTTCAGAGCTGCTGGTAAGGCTGCATTTCCTGAGTGCTCTAAAACTACTGTCTGAATTATTTTTTTACCAAGCCCGCACTCCTGCAAGTTTTGATACCCTTCTATTTGACAAAACTCAGTTTTGCTTTTGCTTTATTTTAATCGCAGGTCCTTTGAACGTAGGACCTGTGATTCTATTCAAAGTCAGAAAGATTTCTGACATATTGATGTTAATATGAAAATTAACACATTAATATGAAAATTATTATTTGGTAAACCAGAAGCGACCTGTCTGAAGTCCTCAATTATGGCATTTTTGTGTTTATTTTCTTTTTCTTTTTCAAGGTTCTTTTTGGAGAAACTATATGGTAGCTGTTGTTTAACATTTACTTATAGATCTTTCGGAGGATGTTACGATTATTAATTGCTCAATACTGTGTTTTGCTTAATCTGAATTTTAATCATAATCCTGCACAATGCATGGATTCTAGTTGCTTTGAAGTGGTTTTGCTCAAAGAACTTATGAATGTCTCTTGCTTTGAGATGTATTGCTTGGTGTGTAGAAATGTACCACAAATAGTGTACCTTATTCAACTGAAGTGACAGTCATAAACACAGATATGACCAAGTTCACATGTGAGCAGGTAACAACTCTGTGACTATTACTGCCAGGCTAATAGCTATTATACTAACATTTGTAAGGCATATTCCATTTTCTGGCATGTTGAAATGTGGAGAAAAAAAGATGAATTAGGAAATGATTCTAACCTAAGTGTGTGTTTTAATAAAAGGACCTAGGCAAAAAAAAAGTAAGTCACTCTTAAATTTAATCCCTGAATATAGTATACATGATGATAGGGGAGAAGTGTATTTTGATAAGAAGTGACTAAATTTTGTGACAATCTTCATTTTTCAGGCTTTTCATTTAGTCTGCCAATAAAGATTAGTTTTTATCTGAATTTTATCAGCAATAAAAAAATAAGACCTGCATATATAAGTTTGAAATTAAACATTTTGTCTCCCTTTATAATTTTCATTTTTATAAAATCTTGACACTTAACATATACTCAGGTGTGTAAAAGCCTGCTATTGTTTGTAACTATAATCCATAAACTTTTGATGAGTTAATTACTAACAACAAGGGCATGAGAAAAATTCAACAGTAATAATCTTTTGCCTTAGGCATTTATTCTCTAAGCAAAACAGAAATAAAGGATATGTATCAGTGTGTACTCGGTTGAAATAAAGCTTTAAAAATCCAAATGATACTCTAAAATTGTTCAAAAGTTTGATGACATGAATCCAGAATTAATTCCCACAACCTGTGATGATCTAGTCATCTTCTGTAGCTACACAGTACTAGTGTTAAGGTTACCAAATTTAGCAATAAAGCCAAAATCATAGCCGCCTGCTGTCACATACAGCTTTTAAGTAAACTACACAAAATCAGAGTTTCCGTTTACATGGTCCATGAGGCCATCTGGACTTGAGCACTTTAGAGGCTCAGGATTAAGGCACCTCAATATAGCCTAGCAGAATTACAATGGAGAGAAGTGAAAACTGTCATTAGTAGCTAAAACCAGCTGAAGGATTTCAGATACTCTTTTTCTTGTTCATCTAAATCAAGCTTCATCTGTGTTAAGAACTAAATTGTTAAAGACCTTTTAAATTTGTTAAGTGCAAGAAAAATAATAACCATTATCTACTTAGTTAACTTGAGTCTTCTGTGCCTCTAAAATTTTGTTTAAACAAAGACTATTGAGGTTAAGGAACACAACTTCTAAAACTTAGTAAAATTGTATTATTAACATTTCTTGCATTGAACTTTGTCATATTTCCCTTCTTCTAATTCTAGTGTGCCAAATTCTGTAACATAATAGTGTTCTTAATGCTCCCGTTTATCTGTATATACAGGAACTTCTGCTTAGGTTTTTTTTATACATAATGAAAGGCTAGTTATACCAGTTGATTGAAAAATACCAGTTCTGTCCCTGGAAGAGCTGTCTACATGAGCCACAACAAACCGAACTTGCCACGTCATTCAAACTTGCCAATTTGGCTGTAGTTTAGTGGATGACAGCTTTGGGTCAGGCTAATATTTGGGGAAATGGAATAATAAAAGCTGCTGATTTTCATACTGTATTGGAAGTAGGAATATCAGCAGCTTTGGGGGATTGGGGGTGTAGAGGGAAGAATGCCTGTGAATGAGTCACTATTATCAACTAACTGCAAAGCAGCTTGGTGATTGACACTTATGTCTAAAGATGTTCATCCCAAGAGCGTTATTGTTCATACAAGTAACTGATTGAAACTAACAGAGTTAATATGTTATTTTGGGCTGCTTGGACAAATAGTCTATCTTTTTGAAGCCTCTGGCTGCAGGGATCTCTTAGCCATCGCACAAATAAATTTCAACCATTCAGACAGAGCAATTCATTTCTGATTGCTGTAGACTAGGGCAATCCATCTGCTAGTGTCATTTACTAGCTATCTGTGACAGAATTATACTCCTTCAATTGTGCTTCAGTGCATTTCTGAAACAATCTAAACTAAAATGTCTATATTCTTTGGCCACTGGCTTATGATGTGTTACTGATATGCTTATGATGTGTTACTGAATCCCCAGCCTCCTTAAATGCTTTTTAAAATCTTCGTTACAACCAACACATCGTGGCTAAGTAATCTGCACATGTGAATGATTTTTTTAAATTTCTTTTCTTATCAGTATCCACTCTTTTCTCTCTGCAGCACATTCAGATGGTTCAAGTGAGTTTTAATTTACCACTTCCTTGTAGGAGAGTGTCACATTGCCCAGAATAGAATTAAAGCATTTACATCTTGAGGCGAAAAATCTTTTAAAATACAACTATGTCAAAATCAAGTAAGTGTTCGTTTCGTTTGTAGGTTTAGAAATGTTGCACTGGTTAATGAAGTTTTACGTGAGTGGGTTCTTTCCTATTATTTTTAGCCTTGGGATTTGAGAAAGTAAATTATGTCCATCAATATGCTGTTCTTTAGAGAAGTTTCAAATATTTCTAGAACTAGAGAACTTGGACTACACAAAGAAATAATTATGATTATAACAAGTGGCCCAAGTGCAGATTTTAAATGTACAGGCACACTGACGTCATAAATTAAAAATTCACTAGGATCAATCTTTAATGAAATTGAATAAGAAAGATCATCACTCATTATAACTGATTAAAATTGATAGAGCTTCTAATTAAGCATTATCCAGTCCAATCAACAGCTGTCTCTGGAAGCTAGCCTATGAGGAAGGAAGGAGAAAGTTTTAGAGTAATTCTTTTTTACTTGTTGCAACATCTGATGGTTAAATACAAAAGAAATATGTACCATGAGTTCAGTGAGAAGAAGCAATTAACAAAATCGGCTATATTTCTTGTGTCTTCGATTATGTGTCTCCAGACTACAGTCACGCTGCAATTTTCCATAACATAAAAATAAATAAAAATAAAAACAATACTTCTGTTAGCCATATTATTTCATCAGGATATAATCAGTCTAGTTTCATCTACAATGAAACCAAAGTTGTTCTAGCCATCATAACATACCCAACACTGAATTCTAGATTCAGATGTTTACCTTCCTGCTTCATATCTCTCCCTTACTGGAAAAAATTGAATAGACCTCTCCATTTGGAGAGCTCTGATCTCTCTATCTACTAAGAGAATATTTTTCATCTAGATAAATGACATAGCCATTCACCAAATTGGCAAAAACAAGAAATTTTCCAAGACTCCTCAGTGCTTCCCCCTCATTCTCTTCATCCTATTTTTCAACAACTGAAGTTTGTATATCAAAAACACAACCAAAATCCATCCACCTCTTTCAACTTACTGAGCTACCACTGTTTTCTAGACTAATGCAATAGTTTTTTTTTTCTTTTTACATCCCACAACAGCTTATTGAATGCAGTAATAATAATGATCTGACTTTTGTAAATGCACATGAAGGCGAAGTTGCAGAAAGTCTGCAAAGGATAGATTTTAAAAGATTGGCATTGAAGTATATGAGACATTGAAAGGAAAAGGAATACTGTGGCCATCTCGACCTGTTTCACTAATTTGGTACTGTTTTTGTATCCCATTTTGCTCCTCTGAAGATGACCTTTTAGGACAAAGATTCATACTACTTTCTAACATTCTACATTTTATTTTCTCCATGAAATTTTGCCTGGTGATAGTCTGCAATCTCTTTACCACCCACATTGTTGTTTTTTACCTTTTACATATTTGCTATGTGCAATCAGATATCAGCTAGAATTTTGCTTTCCCTTTAGATGTAGGAAACATTAGTTGAACCTCTATTCTAAACCCCGCAGATTTCAAAAACTTCTCTCAAGTATCTGTGAAATTTCTGGAGATCACATGTCTTCATAATTTCTTTGGGTTGTAAGCTTCCATTTCTGGTAAGTTAGTTCTGTTTGGGCTTGCATGTGATTTTCTCACAATTCTATGAGGTGAGCACCTATTTTTCACTATGTGAGTCTCAAACTTGCTCCCAGATTTATGACATTACTGTATCCCTCTAGAGAAAGCCCTTTCACACACATTTTATGTGTAGCAAATTTCTCTGAATCATTGGAGCTGTGGAGGAAGGTGCTGGAAGGAAACAGAAGTGTACATATAAGAGGAATGAAAACACAGCATTAGGTAATAATTGTTCTTAGAAGTCCGTTGGTTCCTCATCACCAGGAATTTCTTCACTAGCTATTTTTTTATGAGCCAAAATTATCCCTAGCTTTTTTCTCTTTCTCAGACCAATTTCTTCCATCCCCTTATGATATATGCACACATTGTCTATATGATAGACATGTAGCATTTATCTCTTCTTTCTCTTGTGTCATTAGTTTCCCATCTTTAACGAATTATTCTCATCAGTACACAAATACTCTGTGATCTTTCCAATCAAAAAAAACCTCTTGATTACACTTCTTTCAGGTATGACTATCTTTCTTTCCTTGCTTTACACTAAAATTTTTAGAATACGGTGTCTATTCTTCCATTCTTCAGTTCCCATCTTCCTATTCACTCTTCAACCCAATTCGGGCTTTTAGTACCCCTCTTCGTCACCACTACTCCATTAAAGTTGTTCTTCTGAAGATTTATAGCACTCTCAATTTTGCTAAACTGTGGTCATTCTTGCCCTCATCTTCTTGCCCTTTAAACAGCATTTATCTCAATTGATTACTTCTTCTTTGACTTGCATTCTTTACCTGGATTCAAGGAATTCCCCATTACTGGTTCTTTTTCTAACTTATTGGTCACTCTTTTCAAGTCTCTTTAACTGATTTCTCCTCATCTTCCTCATTTCATATCATTAGAAGCTCACAGATATTTGTGTTTTAATTTCTTTATCCACATTCACTCCTTTGGAATCCATTCTCATAGCATCTATGTGTTATCAATTCTCAAATCTGTATTTCTCATCAAACTATAACTCAAATTGTTAAAATATGAATCCATAAATTGTGAACATAGGTCAGAATTTAATTCATTAATGAGAAAACCAGTAGGATTATCAAGTTGATTTTATATTGTTCCAGATGCTACAAAAAGAAACTTTATATACAACATTATAAAGAACTTTGTCCAATAATTGAGTACATTTTCATATGAGCTAATAGGCTTAAGTAAAAAGTCCAAAAGACAATTTAGCAAGAGTTTTCTTAAGAAGTTCTTATTTTAGATAAGAGGTAGGATTGAGGCAGGAAAATAGGGTCTGGAGGCAGGGAACATAAGGCAGATTCACACTTAAGCTATGACAGGAAATATCCTTTCCATAGGGCGTATGCAGAGTAAATGACTTTGTAACTTTAATTCATTCTCTCCATTTATAAAGACCATACACCAAGTAACCAATGGAAACCCTTCACCAATTTAAACCCCAAAAAATTCTGTAATGGCATCCTTGAGCCCCTATGCTTGGGCCCACTCCCACATTGCAGAGTGTACTTTCATTTTGAATACATTTCTTCATTCTTTCCTCGCCTTGTGCATTTGTCCAATTATTTGTTGAAAATGCCAAGAACTGGTTCACTGTCCACTAGTAACAGCATTAGATAATGACTGTGGGTCAGGTTTCCTGAAAACCAGAATCTGATATGTACTTTAGAATGCGCAATGTTTTTAAGGCTGGTCTGTGGCATTAATACTTGTACAAGGAAGGGGAGAGAGCAAAACAGAGCAGAAGACAGTGAAGCCGAGATGCAGTCTCAAAGACAGCCTTAATTGGCTAATCCCAAGAGGAGCTCTGGTTACTAGAATAGCACTTCAGTATTTCCCAAGTTGAACCTGATTGGCCAGGATTTATACCGCACATCAATCATCTTTTCTCAGTTGCCCAGTTGATAAAGTATACAATGGACAAGATATCTCTTTATGAATGAGACAATCTGTGAAAGGGGCTGACCAATGAAAGCTGTTTACTGACAGCACTCCCAGTAGCTGAGGTAACAAGCCCTTCACTGAAGAAGTGATATGGGTCCCATCACAGTGTCCACCACAATAACATTATAAAGTCCAACTCAATTCCAAGATTCAATTTCTATATGTAACTATTTTAATGATACATTGTTATGTTTTAATTCAAGTTGAATTATGACTTCCAAACTAATCATGCAATATTGTACATATTTTAAATGTACTGAATCCAAGAAGAAACTATACTTTAGTAGATATGTCAGTCATTGATTTACAGAAGCTTTTTTTTTTTTTCTGTAATACTGTCACAAATCTACATGATAATCCCTAGTGCCAGATTTTACTTTTGACTAGCTGAGCAAGCTAAAATATTCATAAATTCACATGAAGCCAGATGGCTTCCCACTGAATATGCATTTGAATGATTCCTGTACATTATTTATTCCAAGAAGTGCACAAAATATACCGTCATCATAGCAGAGACTCCTAATAAGTTTGTTTCAGAAAGGAATCAAGCAATAACAGGTATCCAGTGCTAACTATATTTTGCACTGAACCATGATTCTATGTATGTTCAAGAATTACTAAGCAGACTCAATTTAGTTATTTTCTATTAGTCTCTAAAATATCAGGAATCTGAAATAAGGAAGTGTTTAGCAAGAATGACTAGCATTTGGGAAAAAGGAGGATTTAACTTAGCAAGCATAACATCTTAATAATTTGCTTAGTTCTCTAAAAATTCAAATGTGCAACATGAAGTATTAACCATTTTTGTTAAGTTGTCTTTTTAGGAGTACTTTTATTTTCAGGTTGAAATCACAGATGTGAATTTGAAATGAAAATACAACTTAATCATTAAAAGTTTTTTTCTCCAATATATTTGGGGAGAGAAGAAATGAAAATAGTATTTTTTTTCTTTTTTAATTTATGGAGTTTTCCTTTTATTTAAATCTGCTATGTCTCTTTTGAAAGTTTCCTATTCTTTGGACATGTATCCTAATTGCTGTCCTCACCCTCCATCTTCTCTGTTTTCCTTCAAATGTTGTAATCACTGTTATTTGGTAAACCATATCTGGTAATTCTACTATCTGCAGTCAGGATGGATATGCTTCTGATTCTTGTTTTTGAGCATTATGTTGCCATGCTTTCTTAGATATCTTTGATTGACTTTGATTGTCTGTTAGTCATTGTCCTTAGCAAAGTATTTGCAGAGGTTTCCAATGCCCTAAGATGAATGGACTCTCCTATAACAGCTTTGCATTTGTTTCTAACAGGAGACCAGAGAGGCATTGTCACCTAAGAACAACCTTAGATTAAGTTCAAGACTGAGGTTCTATGGCTTACTAGGCTCGGTATAAATCCATAGTGAATATTTTTGTAGCAATAATTTCTCAAGAACCTAATTTTACTTTATTTTCCTTCTCTTTTTTCCTTTCTTCTTTTTTAAATTAATTTCTTCTGCTCTGCTTAACAGCAAGGCAAGCTGCTGGACAATTCCTTTGATTTGGAATAAAGGAGGACATATTTACTTCTAGTTGATCCTTATCCAAAGACACATTTTTGGGAGGCTTTAGCTTAATGTGTCAAAGACACTCTCTAAGAATTCTCGACCTGTAGAAACCCTTGGCAACCCTCTGATTCCTTGGAACCTAAGTCCGACTGTGTGCTTTTGGCGAATTCCTCAGGGCAAAAACTTACTTCATACCACTTATGTTTCTTGTATAAGGAAATATCCACTTATATTTCTGGGTTTAAGCATTTTCCTAAAATAGTTTGTGTATACAACATTATTATTTTAGTTCTTCATTTTTTTTGCGATTATGACTTTTATACTTAGCATTTAAAATCAGTCCATTATTCTCACTCATGGGAAACATAACTGTAATTCTGTATTATCTTATTGACTTATCCAACATTTTCCCTAGTGACATATTTTAGTTAGTAGAGGGTATGCTATATTATTTAAGGAGATAGTACTAGTAGATGATATATTTTTATAATGGATGTTACAGTCATGAAGTATAATGATCATGAAAATCCTAAACCTATGAAGAAGAAAAAGGGGAATAAAAAAAACATTTAGACTCTTATCCCTTTTATCCCACATCACATAAGCCACATGATGGAGTTGACAAGTCAGCACTTAGCATGATGCCTGCTATGAGATAGTAAACCATGTTAAATCTTTTACACAGGAGGTCAGAATAAGCATAAGCAGACAAAAGGTATGTTCATGTATGTTTTTGAAATAGGAAACAAGCCTACATAATTTCCTTAAAAAAAAAAGGTCACCTTTTATAGTAGGTAGAACACATATGCCAGTGTTAGACACTCTCTGACTTGTAATTATCAAAAACAATTTGAAGTTAATTATGTGCCAGGGACTTTGATCCTCACTAGGGATATTTTATCCCTTGCTCGCAGGGCTCTTGCAGTTCAGTTGAGGATAAGATAGGAAAAAATTAATAATTGCAATAATTCCCGGCTGGAGCTACCATATGTACAGGCTTTTGAATAGTCATTCAAAGAGACTAACAAAAGCTGCATGATGAGTAAAGAACTCTTAGGGGAGGTGACATTTACCCTGAAACCTAAAGAAAGAGTGCTAATTAGCCTGTTTTTTTTTGTGGAGAGATGGGAAGAGAAAGAGTGAAGAGGGAAGTATATTATGACAGGAGAAAACATTTATAAAAGTTTGGTGGGTAAGAGTGCTCAGTGCATAGGGAGGTCTGAGAAGCCCAATCTGAAGTGTAGTGTGTCACTTCACTTCAGAAATCACATGCAGTGTAAGAGTGGCTTGGGGAAATGTCTAAACTTGATTAATTTACAGTGTTTATATAAATATGCATATAACTTCATATTTATGTAAATATGCAGGTACCTTAGAAATTAAAACTGACAAAATTAACAATTTTTTTGCAAAGAAGAGGAGAGAGAAAGTGGTGTGTGTGTGTGTGTGTGTGTGTGTGTGTGTGTGTGTGTGTGTAATATGGAAGTGATAGTCCTAGTATTTGGCTACCAAATGACAAAGTTGACTTTAGACATTGATGAATAGTAACAAATAGGAAAACAAATAACAGTAATAATTAATGTCTACCCAGAGATCACTTCCTATTGAAACACTGTAAATTAAAGGTTATGTGATTTATGTGATAATTTTGCTTATTTGAAACAAGGGAGAACTGGAAAAGACAAACTTCACAAATGAATTAACATAGTGCAAATATTGTACAGAAGTTTATTTACTATGAACCTGAAAAAACAAATTAGAATTCAAAACTCTAGTGTTTAATCCTTTATTTTATAGTTTCATTAAAACACATATTTCTTGGAAATGTTTTTGTTTAGACATGAGTAGTTACTTTTGTCTTTACAAGAGTTTATCCTTATTTGTGCTGAGCTAAATATTCAGTATACAGCTGGCTTTTTACTGATACAGTACAGAAATGACACCACATATGACATTATTATATCAGTCTGATTTGAAGAGCTAAAAGAAGGTGGTTATGGAGTAAACTATACTGCATAAACTTTTTTTCATGTCTCTTAGTAGAAAAACAACAGCAACAACCAAAATATATATGCAAATGCACATTTTATAGTCCATAGACATTAGCTAAACCAATAAAACAATCTTCAAAGATTTTTATTGCATAAAAACAAAATATAACTTTCTAGTTAAGCATAAAGCTCAACAAAACAACACTACAAAAATGAGACAACATTTTAGCTCTGTTCCTAGCATTGCTATTAACTCACCGTAATCTCCATTAGATGAAAAGTCAAGATGCATAAACAGCAAGGGCCACTGGGCATTGTGAGTCTGAAATGGTGTGCTGAAAGTTACTTGAAAGTGTTTTGAAATTTAAAGGAAAGGAAAAAAAGCCTTCCTGACAAGTGAAAATATGCCACCTATTCAGTTATGATATCTAAGAAAACTTAATGGAGTTATTAAAGGAGCACTTAGAGAATATGTGCAATTACTTTCTTTAGATAGGACAAATACATTTCATAATGTATTTCTTCATTTCCAAGAAAAGTTTTTTATTTCTTTGATCTTTCTTTCATGATAATGAGGTAGATGTGTACAGCATTGAACACTGCATCTCAAATGTAATCCCAACAGACTTGCAACAAGCAAATTTTTATGTTATTTTTTATAAAATGATGCCTCTGTTTAAACCACTCACTTTCCTTAACATAATATGAATTCACATATAATTTGTGTATTTCTTCCACTTACAGAACACTGGTTTATACTGCTCTTCAGGCACTTCTCTCCTCAAACATATGTATATATATGTGTGTGTATATATATATATATGTGTGTGTATATATATATATATATATGTGTGTGTGTGTGTGTGTGTGTGTGTGTGTAAACTTAGAAAAGTTAAAAAAAATATATATATATACACACACACACATATGTATATACACACATATATATACATTTTAACTTTTCTAAGTTCTTATGGTTTGATTACACTTTCCTTTGGTAACTCCTTTTATCTTTTCTGTTCATAGTTTCTACCATTGCTGCCACTTTATATAATATCTCTGTCATTTGGTATTTATGACTTTGCCTAACTTAGCCTCATCAATTTTTAGTCTCAAAAAATATTCTAGATGAAATTTAAATTATTTTGGTCCCATCAATTTTGTTTAATTTGTTTTACTATGTAAAACAATAATAGAAATTTTCATGAACATCATCTTAATAATTTCTCTGAATTCTCTGATATGATAAATTCTTACTTTATCATATTTTAGATATTAAATTGTTATTTTTTCCCACTAAGCAAGATTTTAAAATATGTATGTGTATATATATGTGTGTGTGTATATATATATATATATATATATACACACATAAAATTGCATTTTAGGTTCTGGGGTACATGTAAAGAACTTGCAGGATTGTTGCATAGGTACATACATCATATATGGCAATGTGGTTTGCTGCCTCCATCCCCATCACCTATATCTGGCATATCTCCCCATGTTATACCTCCCCAACCCCCTACCCACCACTGTCCCTTCCCTAGTGCCCACCACAGACCTCGGTGTGTAATGCTCCCCTCCCTCTGTCCATGTATTCTTGTTCAACTCCCACCTATCAGTGAGAACATGTGGTGCTTGATTCTCTGTTCCTGTGTCAGTTTGCTGAAAATGATGGTTTCCAGGTTCATCCATGTCCCTACAAAGGACACGAACTCATTGTTTTTTATGGCTGCATAGTATTCCATGGTGTATATGTGCCACATTTTCCCTGTCTAGTCTATCATCGAAGGCCATTTGGGTTGGTTCCAAGTCTTTGCTATTGTAAACAGTGCTGCACTGAACATACGTGTGCATGTGTC